AGTATTAAAAACCATTTGTCTCCATTCACTCCTATCAAACATGCTCACGCATGCCTGCTGGAAGTCCAAGCCCCTCGCACACAAAACCTCCTTTACCCCCTCCCTCCAACCTTTCCTAGGCCGACCCCTACCCCGCCTTCCTTCCACTACAGACTGACACACTCTTGAAGTCATTCTGTTTCGCTCCATTTTCTCTACATGTCTGAACCACCTCAACAACCCTTCCTCAGCCCACTGGACAACAGTTTTGGTAATCCCACACCTCCTCCTAACTTCCAATCTACGAATTCTCTGCATTATATTCACACCACACATTGCCCTCAGACATGACATCTCCACTGCCTCCAGCCTTCTCCTCGCTGCAACATTCATCACCCATGCTTCACACCCATATAAGAGCGTTAGTAAAACTATACTCTCATACATTCCCCTTTTTGCATCCAAGGACAAAGTTCTTTGTCTCCACAGACTCCTAAGTGCACCACTCACCCTTTTCCCCTCATCAATTCTATGATTCACCTCATCTTTCATAGACCCATCCGCTGACACGTCCACTCCCAAATATCTGAATACATTCACCTCCTCCATACTCTCTCCCTCCAATCTGATATCCAATCTTTCATCACCTAATCTTTTTGTTATCCTCATAACCTTACTCTTTCCTGTATTCACTTTTAATTTTCTTCTTTTGCATACCCTACCAAATTCATCCACCAATCTCTGCAACTTCTCTTCAGAATCTCCCAAGAGCACAGTGTCATCAGCAAAGAGCAACTGTGACAACTCCCACTTTGTGTGATTCTTTATCTTTTAACTCCACGCCTCTTGCCAAGACCCTCGCATTTACTTCTCTTACAACCCCATCTATAAATATATTAAACAACCACGGTGACATCACACATCCTTGTCAAAGGCCTACTTTTACTGGGAAATAATTTCCCTCTTTCCTACATACTCTAACTTGAGCCTCACTATCCTCGTAAAAACTCTTCACTGCTTTCAGTAACCTACCTCCTACACCATACACCTGCAACATCTGCCACATTGCCCCCCTATCCACCCTGTCATACGCCTTTTCCAAATCCATAAATGCCACAAAGACCTCTTTAGCCTTATCTAAATACTGTTCACTTATGTGTTTCACTGTAAACACCTGGTCCACACACCCCCTACCTTTCGTAAAGCCTCCTTGTTTGTCTGCTATCCTATTCTCCATCTTACTCTTAATTCTTTCAATAATAACTCTACCATACACTTTACCAGGTATACTCAACAAACTTATCCCCCTATAATTTTTTCACTCTCTTTTGTCCCCTTTGCCTTTATACAAAGGAACTATGCATGCTCTGCCAATCCCTAGGTACCTTACCTTCTTCCATACATTTATTAAATAATTGCACCAACCACTCCAAAACTATATCCCCACCTGCTTTTAACATTTCTATCTTTATCCCATCAATCCCGGCTGCCTTACCCCCTTTCATTTTACCTACTGCCTCACGAACTTCCCCCACACTCACAACTGGCTCTTCCTCACTCCTACAAGATGTTATTCCTCCTTGCCCTATACACGAAATCACAGCTTCCCTATCTTCATCAACATTTAACAATTCCTCGAAACATTCCCTCCATCTTCCCAAATACCTCTAACCTCCATTTAATAACTCTCCTCTTCCCATTTTTAACTGACAAATCCTTGTTCTCTAGGCTTCCTAACTTGTTAATCTCATTTCCAAAACTTTTTCGTTTTTTAAAACAAAATTTGTTGATAACAATCTCACCCACTCTCTCATTTGCTCTCTTTTTACATTGTTTCACACTTTTTTTAAACCTCTCCTCTTTCTCCATATACTTTTCCCTCCTTGCATCACTTCTACTTTGAAAAACTTCTCATATGCTAACTTTTTTCCCTTACTACACTCTTTACATCATCATTCCACCAATCGTTTCCTCTTCCCTCCCGCACCCACTTTCCTGTAACCACAAACTTCTGCTGAACACACAAACTACATTTTTAAACCTACCCCAATACCTCTTCAGCCCCCTTGCCTATGCTCTCATTAGCCCACTATCCTCCAATAGCTGTTTTTTATCTTACCCTAACTGCCCCCCTTTTAGTTTATAAACCTTCACCTCTCCCCTTCCCCCGATGCTTCTATTCCCCTTGTATGCCATCTACCTTTTACTCTCAGTGTAGCTACAACTAGAAAGTGATCTGATATATCTGTGGCCCCCCTATAAACATGTACATCCTGAAGTCTACTCAACAGTCTTTTATCTACCAATACATAATCCAAAAAACTACTGTCATTTCGCCCTACATCATATCTTGTATACTTATTTATCCTCTTTTTCTTAAAAAATGTATTACCTATAACTAAACCCCTTTTTATACAAAGTTCAATCAAAGGGCTCCCATTTTCATTTACACCTGCACCCCAAAGTTACCTACCACACCCTCTCTAAAAGTTTCTCCTACTTTACATTCAGGTCCCCTACCACAATTACTCTCTCACTTGGTTTTAAAGGCTCCTATACAATTCACTTAACATCTCCCAAAATCTCTCTCTCTCCTCTACATTCCTCTCTTCTCCAGGTGCATACACGCTTATTTGGACCCACTTTTCGCATCCAACCTTTACTTTAATCCACATAATTCTTGAATTTACACATTCATATTCTCTTTTCTCCTTCCATTACTGATCCTTCAACATTACTGCTACCCCTTCCTTTGCTCTAACTCTCTCAGATACTCCCGATTTAATCCCATTTATTTCCCTCCACCGAAACTCCCCTAACCCCTTCAGCTTTGTTTCGCTTAGGGCCAGGACATCCAACTTCTTTTCATTCTTAACATCAGCAATCATCTGTTTTTTGTCATCCGCACTACGTCCACGCACATTCAAGCATCCCAGTTTTATAAAGTTTTTCTTCTCTTTTTTAGTAAATGTCTACAGGAGAAGGGGTTACTAGCCCATTGCTCCCGGCATTTTAGTCGCCTCATGCGACACGCATGGCTTACGGAGGAAAGATTCTTTTCTACTTCCCCATGGACAATAGAAGAAATAAAGGAGAACAAGAGCTGTTTAGAAAAAGAAAAACCTAGATGTATGAATATATATATGCATGTGCGTGTCTGTGAAGTGTGACCAAAGTGTAAGTAGGAGTAGCAAGATATCCCTGTTATCTAGCGTGTTTATGAGACAGAAAAAGAAACCAGCAATCCTACCATCATGCAAAACAGTTGCAGGTTTCTGTTTCACAGTCATCCGGCAGGACGGTAGTACTTCCCTGGGTGGTTGCTGTCTACCAACCTACTACCTATAAATATTAAATAAATATTAAATATTAAAATATTAACCCTTTGACTGTCGCGGCCGTATATATACGTCTTATGAGGTACCGTGTTTGACGTTTATATACTCATAAATTCTAGCGGCTTCAAATCAAGCAGGAGAAAGCTGGTAGGCCCACATGTGAGAGAATGGGTCTGTGTGGTCAGTGTGCACCATATAAAAAAAATCCTGGAGCACGCAGTGCATAATGAGAAAAAAAAAACTCCGACCGTTTTTTTTTTTAATTAAAATGCCAAATTTGTGGTCTATTTTCATATAGTATTGATGATTGTATTCTCGTTTTCTTGGTCTTATTTGATAGAATGGAAAACATATTATAGAAATAGAGGTGATTTTTATTGATTTTACTATAAAAAGAACCTAGAAATGGAGCTCAAAGTAGGGGAAATGTTTGATTTTTGCCAATGTTCAAAAGTAAATAAATGATGCCATTGTCCAATAAATGTCCAACTAGCCATTCTAATATGCAGTCATGAATGGGTTGATGTTATTTATACAATTATTACAGTATTGCAGTAGTCTGCATAATAGTAAGTCTTCTATTTTTTGTTTGAGTAAAAATTCAAAATAGAAAGCAAGAGTAATATCAGAGGGGTCTGGAGACATGACTGATGAACAAAGAAAATGTTATTTTAGAGCCAGGAATGTCTGCATTGTTCATTCTGGACCTTATTTTGAAATTGTCATTTTTTTTAATTTTTGTGAAATTGGGCAAATTGCAAATTTCTGACCACATTATTAGGTAGTTGAAGTCGGTAAATGGGCAATTTCTTGTACTCAATAGAAAAAATGGAGTTCTAAAGAAATAGCTATGGGTTTGGGCGACTGGAACAACGGAATTAGCCGAAAATAGGGCTCAAAGTGGGCGAAATCGCCGATTTGTAAACAGCGCCGAGGTCGCTAACTTCGCGAGAGCATAATTCCGTCAGTTTTCCATCAAATTTCATTTTTTTGGTGTCATTACAATCGGGAAAAGATTGTCTATCGTTTCGTAAGAAAAAATAATTTTTTTTTTTAAATTTTGCGACACCAGGAGACACCTCAGGATTGGGGGTTGCGACAGTCAGAGGGTTAAATATTAAATAAATTTCTCTTTATGAAAATGTTATGACTCATTACCTATCCTGTGTTAATTACTGGTTATCAAAGGCACTTGTTGATGGTGTGTGTTTGTGAGAAAGTAGAAATGTTTGTAAGTGTGAGAGAAAGAAAGTGCCTGTGTGTGTGTGTGTGTGTGTGTGTGTGTGTGTGTGTGTGTGTGTGTGTGTGTGTGTGTGAGAGAGAAAATAACCTTCACAGTTGTGAAGTAGTGTATTACTGATTGAATTGATGTAATTTTGCCTTGTGTTTAGAGTACACCATGTCCACATGTAAAATCTAATATTTTGTCAATATTTCATTGTATGTGAGTGAATTTCATGTATTTATGCAAAAAAAAAATTGTGGAGTAATACTGAGTCTTGGTTTTAGGAATGAGAGAATGTGTTGAATTTGTTGTAGCAAATTAAGGTAACTTTTCACTTACCACTAATGGATGTTGAATGAATTTGAATTGAGAGGAGACAGTGGGTAAGTTTCACAAGTTTCTGATTGTCATAAAAAGACTACTGCTACTTTTATTACTAATCTGGGAGTATTTTTCAGACCCCTAAAGCCTTCTCCGCCATATCTTGGACTAATCCTGGCTTCTTGCGGCAAGTTGGAACAGTACCTGGCACGTGGCTGCCGCATGTCACCCACAGACTCTCCAGAATCATCTGGTATTCAAGCCTTATTGCAGTTATTCTTAATTTAAATGATTCTCTTAATTATCTTAATTATTTGAATGATTATCTTAATTCTCTTAATTATTTGAATGATTATCTTAATTATCTTTATAAAGTATGTGCAACATAATGATGTTTTAAAAAAATCTTCTCTTTAGTTTACCTTTTTTTTCCTCCCCATACTGGTTGTCTCCCACCAAGGTAGGGTGACCTGAAAAAGAAACACTTTTACCATTATTCACATCACTTGTCTTGCCAGAGATGCATAGATACTACTACTACTTTAGAAAGCAGGTACTGTACTTCCTACCTCCAGGACTTGAGTCCAGTTAACCAGTTTCTCTGAATCCCTTCATGGAATGTTAATTTGCTCACACTGCAACAGCTCATCAGGTCCAAAAAAAAAAACATTTGCCTCCACTTCTAACACACTCACACATGCCTGCTGGATGTCCAAGCCCAATGTAGATATAATTATTGTACTAATGGTCCCATTTGCTTTGGATGAGAATAGATGTGCATGGTGAATTTTGTTTTACAATTTTAAACACTGATGTGTTTGTTCATCAGCAGTGCTCATTATTCTGTCATCAAATAAAAAATATAATGCTAGGAGATAACAGTGCTACAAATGAAAGCTAAAAATTTAAGTACAGTGTATACATGAGAAAGGCAGAGTAGAGGCGAAAGTAGAGAATCACATACAAGTTAGATTGAGCAGGTAAAGAAATGAAGAAATAACATTTGTAAAAATAGATGTACAGTAGAGTGGATGAATGTGAGTAGCAATGTGAGTGAAAGGAAAAGCCTACTAGAGTTTGAAAAACCTCAAAACACTGCTAACATATCCACAGTTTCTGATGTAGCTTTCTATCTAGTTGATGGCAAAGAAGCCATTGACAGTATGCCCATGCATTCTGCTCCTGGCCTGAATTTGTGGAATTCCATATTCATCATGAATTGTATGAAACCACTCTCATGGGCCTTTAACCCTTTGAGGGTCGACAGGCCCTCTCCGAAACTCGTTCTCAGGGTCGGCCAAATTTCAAAAAAAAAAAAAATTATTTTTTCTTATGAAAAAATAGAGTATTTTTTTCTAAACATTATAGGCTAAACAAAAAAATTTTAGCGTCAATACTTACCGAGATATGGAGGTGTGAAATTTCCCAAAATTGAACAACATATGGTAACATCGCCGACTGCCGTCACCCGGTATTTTTCTATTTACTTTTTTATGTACTATTTTCAATTTTTTTTCAATTTTTTCTTTTTCTGAGTAACTTTATGGCCTCTGAGGCCAACATGATCAGTATTTTGTAAAGTTATTTCCTTTTTCTGCAATATTACACAATAAGGCGTAAACACTGTTGTCAATTATTTTGTTTACTAGTAAATATTTTACACAAACAAACAAAATGAAATGTTGTTTATTACTATTTTTTATATTTTTATATATACACAATATACAGTCACAGACATGTTTCTAGAAATGTTTCTGCAGCCTGTGGAACTCTTGAAACATGGTGTCATGCACAGTGAGTTTTTGCACTCTCACACATAAAACGAGTGTCTCTGCGTTGTCCGTGGCGTTTTTTTTGTATGTAACAGACGTAACACCTTCTTCTGAGCCTTTTTCTTCGAAGCAGTAGCAGGCAGTTTTTACCAGAAGTGATCATCATCTTCAGACGAGCAGGTAGTTGTTGATAATTTGGTGGGGCGGTCAATTGCAGGTGTCATTTCCTTGGTACTTGAATACTATTTGTCTGATGACAGACACAAAACAGAATTTCTACGTACTTTGTTTGTTTCTGGTGCTTCATCTTATACATATTATAAGCATGACATGAAAATGTCCAGAAGATGGAAAAACAGTTTGATGTACCACTTATAAACTCTTGCGAAAACATCATGCAAACCCAATCTGCATGTCAACATTGTCCACTGAATCATGTTGAAGGTGTAATCAATCACAAGCTGCAGGTTTTAGAATGGGTTCATTCTTCTCTCTCTATGCTGCCTGCCACTGTCTGCCATTTCATTAGGGTGAATTGATGACAACAGTGTGCATCTCGTTTGTCATGCCCACCGAAATGCCATTGATGTCATTGGCAGCAAACCCTGCATCCCTCACCTCAGCAGTGCCACCATCAAACCTGGGCATATGTTTTTCGATTTGCATGTCGCACGTGCCACACACATCTGTCATGTTCACTCGCAAAAAAATCACTGAGTGAGGGCTTGTGTACCAGTTATCTGTATATAATATATGCCCCTTACCAAGTATGTTCTATCATTGGGTTCGAACCACATCACCTGAGATGCCCAATAACTTCCTGGATTTTTTGCAATGTATATCTTCCAGTGTACACAATAATATCCAATACCAGACCACTGTAACAATCACAAAGCACAAACAACTTTATACCAAAGCGTTTCCTCTGCTTGGTAGATACGCTTGAAGAGAGTCTTCCTTTGAACAGAATCAAAGACCGTCAATTAACAACTTCCTGAAGGGATAAAAATGGATACTGAATTTCTGTTTCAGATACACAAACACATCCTAATCTTATATAAACTGTCAGTTCTTCAGGCCTGTTTTTAATCTGAGAAGTGAAGCATACGTAAAATTAGCACAATTCGATTCACTGGCATTATATCACTGAAACCTGGTGTTTTGCAATCAGGGGTCTGTTGACCAGTATGCATTTCACCTTTGTGCTTATACACATGTGGGGCATAAGCATTATTGTGGCAAAGGAAAAGATACAGCTCAGCCACAGTTGCCTCCTTCCCATTGGTGTAGACGTGATTTTGGTGAAGTAATTGTGGTTTTGCCATGGTGTCCGGTATATGTGTTGCTTTCCATGACAATACTTTTCATCAGTGGTTCCGTCAAAGATAACTCGAACCATTCCAGTTCCAGTGGCATTGTTCCCAAGTGCACAAGATGGCCGCATCCACTTTGGCTACCATAAAACTGGTGGGGATTTTGGAACAAATGACAGCTCCGCCTGCAATCCCAGGTGCGTCTGCTGGTGGGTACTGGACAATGACAGGTGGTTGTGGTTGTGGAGGTTGTGGTTGTGGAGGTTGTGGTTGTGGAGGCTGGTGTGGGGGGGAGTGGGGGATGGTGGCCTTTTGTTCTAGAATCAAGCTGAGGCAAGCGGCGTGGGTGAGCAGCGTGGTGGCAGCATGGCCCACTGCTGGTGCCTCACCGCCGCACCACTACCACCACGCACATTTTCCATCCCATTGCAACAGTATCTTCAGTCATTTTCACTTCTGTTCCTGTTGACAGCCACGGGATGTACTCCGAGATACACTCCTTCCCCTTGGAATAGCATATGGCACAGTTCCAGAGCGCATATACGTGCGTAATAAACTGCCTTCACTGGGGAATATTGCACTTCACTATCACTACTGGAAACTAGTTTGAAAGAGCTTGTAGTTCAATATTCACTATCACTATCCATCACCCATCTCCTCATCTGATCTGGATTTGGAAAATAGAAGTTCCGGGTCTTGGGTTCTGGAACAACTGAACGTGAACACGAGGGCCCAGCACCAGAGGTGAAGGCTGAGGGTCGTCTGGGTTTTTCTTCACTATTACCGATATTATGGTCCATCAGGTTTCGTCAAAACCTCACTAAACCACGAAACTCATCTTCACTGGCACTTCCCATCACTATTAGAACTGTCACTGGGGAACAAAATGTCCTAATTCGCCGAGGAGAGGAGGAGCCTTCTTACCGCGAGGCATGGTGGACATTGTTTACTAAGAGGGCATTCCCCACAATTCACCACTGGGTCCCAGATTTTTTTTTCTACCGGCGCACACAGACCACGCAGACCCATTCTCACACACCTAGGCCTATCAGACTTCGCGCGAGATTTGAGGCCGCTATAATTTTATGCGTACAGTACGTCAAAAACCCCCTACGCGTAATACGTACTAGTACGACGAAAACCCTCAAAGGGTTAACCCTTTGACTCGAAGGCCAATCCCTGAAGTTGCTTCTGGTGTCGCAAAATATTCGAAAAAAAAAAAATTATTTTTTTCTTATGGAATGATAGAGAAATCTTTTTCCCGATTGTAAAGACACCAAAAAAACGAAATTTGATGGAAAAACTGACGGAATTACCTCTCGCGAAGTTAGCGACTTCGGCGATATTTAAAAAACGCAATTTCGCCCACTTTGAGCCCTATTTTCGCTAATTCCGTTATTCCAGTCAACGAAACTCATAACATTTCCTTCAGAACTCAATTATTTCTATCGATTGAGTACAAGAAACTGCCATTACCGATTTCAACTACACAATAACATGGTCAGAAATTTGCAATTTGGCCAAAATTTCACGAAATTAAAAATACGACAATTCAAAATAAGGTCCAGAATGAACAATGCCAGACATTCCTGGTCTAAAATAACATTTATTCTTTTGTCATCAGTCATGTCTCCAGTCCCCTGTGATATACTCTTGCTTTTATTATTTTGAAATTTTATTCAAACAAAAATAGAAGATTTACTGTTATCAGACTAAGCAATACTGTAATAATTGTAAAAATTTACATCAACCCATTCATGACTGCGTATTAGAATGGCTACTTGGACATTTATTGGACAATGACATCATTTGTTCACTTTTGAACATCTAATCGCAAAAATCAAACATTTCCTGTACTTTGGTGCTCCATTTCCAGGTACTTTTTTATAGTAAAATTAATCAAAATCACCTCCATTTCTATAATATAGTTTCCATTCTATCCAAATGATACCAAGAAAACGAGAATACAACCACAAATACTATACGAAAATAGACCCACAAAGTCGGCAATTAATTAAAAAAAATGGTCGGAGTTTTTTTTTCTCTTATGCACGCGTGCCTCCAGGATTTTATTATGTGGTGCACACTGACCACACAGTAACCCAATCTCTCACATGTGGGCCTACTAGCTTTCTCCTGCCTGATTTGAAGCCGCTAGAATTTATGAG